AATGGTCTTTGAAATAACTAAAAAGTATTACTAAATGGAAAACAGTTGAAAATGTTCCAAATACAATGTACAGTACATGTAACTATACTAGACTGGGGAATGGACTATGGTCTGGCTAGTGAGACTTGGGCCATCATACATGTACATGTACATGTACATGTAATTTGAATGTAACGTGAAACTGATATTTTGCTTAAAACCAAATACTGTAGATCTAGCAACAGGTGATTGTCCCATTTCACTTCTAAAAGTCTCTGCATGTATACAGTACAGCAACTGTGGCCAAATTTTGCCAAAAATAAAAAAGTGAAAATTCTTCATTTTTATTACATTTTCAGATGCATGTACATGTACATGTACTTGAGTTGTGTAGAAAGTTTGAACTGATTTTGATCAAATTTGGTTTTTTTTACAAACTTTTACAGTTAATGTACTTATTAATTTTTACCATATTAGGCATGTTTCGATTTGATGAAGATAACCAGTTTTACTGGTTCAACTCGGTGTCCCTAGAATCAGAGGAGCAATACAGACTGATTGGTATCCTCCTGGGACTGGCCATATACAACAATGTTATACTGGACGTGAGGTTCCCTATGATAGTCTATCATAAACTGATTGGATGTACTCCTGTCTTTAAAGACCTTTACTCATCTCATCCAGTTAGTACATGTATCACTGACACTGTACATGTAGTTACTGCAGTTAATAGTAATGTAATGATGATTGGTACTATCTATCATTAAGATCTTGTGTACACTTTTAACAATAATAATAATTGTAACTTTAATTTTTAAAATTTTTATGTTCTGTGTAGCTAAAGTTGTGACATTGTATTCAGATAGTCAGATACATGTACATGTACACGTACTTTTATAATTTAATCTTACATGTACATGTATGCATCTTTACTTGTACATGTACATGTTTTATTTTACATTTTGTCTTTTGCTGTAGGTTATAGCCAAGTCTCTACAGTCAATGTTGGATTTTGAAGGAACTGATGATGAGTTTCAGGACACATACATGGCCACATTCTCCATTACTTATTCCGACATGTTTGTAATGGTACAATCAACTGACCTCAAAGAAAATGGAGACAAAATACCAGTCACACTAGAGAACAGACAAGTACGAGCGTGTAAATGTTATGTGTACACTTTTAAATTTATTTTTTATTTCAGGAATATGTTGATCTTTATACTGATTGGTTGTTAAATAAATCGATTGCTAAACAGTTTGATGCCTTTAAGAAAGGGTTTGATCTCGTAATGAAGGACAAACACTTAGCAGATCTCTTCACTGCGGAGGAGGTGGAGATGTTAGTGTGTGGAAGCAAGGTGAGCATTAAATAGAATAAACATGGGCATTAAATAGAAGTAACAAGGGTGTGAACATTGTTTAATTGTTTTATATGTAATTGTTTGGTTTTTATTTGTCAATAGGAATGGGATTTCAATTCGCTGGAGGAGAACACTCGTTACGATGGGTTTTCAAAATCACACTCCGTCATCATGTAAGAGATACATGTACATGTACATGTACAGCTGGTGGGGAAATACCGGGACTTTTAAATAGCCAAAATTTCCATGTACATGTGTATTGGTTTTTGTTCTTTTTTTAGTAATTTCTGGGAGGTGTTTTACGAGTTTAATGAAGACGAGAAGAAGCAGCTGCTAGCTTTTGTGACCGGATCTGATCGAGTGCCAGTAGGTGGACTATCCAACCTTAAACTGGTCATTGTTAAGAATGGACCTGACTCTGACAGGTATAATAATAATAATAATAATAATCATAATAATAAATAATAATAATAATAATAATAATAATAATAATAATAATAATAATAATAATAATAATAATAATAATGTACATGTACATGTACATGTAGTTTCTAATTGACACCATTTTTATAAACAAAAAAATAAGATCACCTTTTGAAAATATAGGAAAATTGTACATGTACATGTACATGGATATACATGTACATGTAGCTAAATGACACCATTTTTATAAACAAAAAATAACCTATTTAAAGTAAAG